AAACTTATTTTTTTCAACAAAATTTTTTTTTTAAACAGCGGCTTTTTTGAAATTTTTTTTTTTTTTTTTTTTTTTTTTCCTGTCAAGCTAACACCAAAATTGATTGTCTCTGTTCTAATCCAGTGAGTCTCTGTTGTTTTCTGCAGGTACACAAGGAACTTGGTTGATGAGGGTAATGGGAAGTTCAATCTCATGATTCTCTGTTGGGGTGAAGGACATGGCAGGTGAATTTATATAAATCACAAAAGTTGTTTTTCTATCTTTTCTTAGGTACATTTAAACCAGTTTTAATTCATCATCATGGCATGATTCTTATTTGTTTAAATACTGCAGATCAGATATTTCAGTGTTCCATCTACTATTGGTGACATTGGTCGCCTCGTGAGCAAATTCAAACATTATATAACATGCATATAATTTTGCACAAGAGGTTGTGATGAGGTCTTGTCACAAACGCTGAAGACCACACATTTATTTTCAGATTAAATCTCTCTGCAGGTATTCAATAGGCAGAAAACTTGACATGTCTCTGAAAGGTCAGCGCTTGCACATCCTGATGCCGAAGGCTTGTGTGCTCTTTGACACTTTGCAGTAGTATCCACGACCACACAGACTCTCACTGCTTCCTGAAGCTCCTGCAGGGACAGCTGAAGGAAACGCTGTTCGACTGGCCGGACCGCAAATCACATGGAGACATGGTGCAGAAATCTCAGAGGATCCTCCAGGAGAACAAGGTCGCTTACATCAACGGTAAGAAAGAAAACTGGTTCTTTTTTTTTTTTTGGCCCGTACTGCAAGCCTTTCACCTTTCAACATTCTATTGCTTTTGCGTTGACTTGCAGCATAGTTATGTCCTATTGACCAATCATGTCCTACTTTGACTCTCATGTGAGAGATGCAGAATATCTCAGTAAAGCAGACATTGCCATGCACAACACGGCATTTCAGCTTCAACAGTTGCACACCGGTTAGTGTGATGCTAAATAGGTCTAACGCTACTTCCCAGTTAGTTGTGTCTGCACAATGAACACCATTTAGTTCTCTGCTCCAAGTCCACGCCGTGCAGCAAATGGAGCCTGAGTGTGATGTTTGGTGTCGGACTCGCACCTCTCCAGAGACGCCGTCTCTAAACATGTCCGTGTGTGTTTCAGACTCCATTGGTCTGCATCGTGTAGAAAACGTCAGTCACACAGAGTGCGCCGTGAGTTTGCACCTGTACAGTCCTCCGTTTGAGACCTGCCAGACCTTTGACCAGCGAACGGGCCACAAGAACACCGTCAAGATGACCTTCTGGAGCAAGTACGGAGAAAGGACTCCCTATGTGAGTAGCTTGTCTGAATCTGATTTGAAGTAAATGATTTAATGCATCTATAAAAATTAATTAAACATTGACAAAGCTGGATGTTTAATTTCTCATAATAGTATTTTTTGAGACATCCTCTTAAATTGGAACCCGTTTCTAAATGTATTTTTGCATCCTCTAAAAATAATTAATGAACATAAAGTACGCATCTTGATGTAACTACATGAATGCAAATGGCTAACGTATCGAATATTAAGCAAAACAATTGAAAAAGCAGGCATTTTTTTCAAACTTGTAATTTTTTATTTTTTATTTTTTCCAGAATGTATGTATTTTAGACTGAAAGGTTAAGGCCAAAAAAGTGAAGCTTTTAGGAATGAATTATTCAACTCAAACCCCATAAAAGTTGGGTGGGCTTTTGTTGATTTTTTTTATTATTATTATTTTTTTTTTTATCAACTGAAACAAGACTGATGTGACTGGTGATGGTTTTAGGTTTATTTCTGCGAGAAAACAAACATGATCATTTGGTGATAAGTTTTTGCCTGACAGACTGAGAGGATGTTTTAAAGAAAAAAAGCATCAGACTAGAAAAGTACAGACTTTTAGCTGAACCCAGACTTTCCTTCCCTCACAAAGAGGGAAATGGGATGTTTTTATGGTTTCTTGCTCCACTCATTAAATGCAGCCCATAAGAACTTAAACAGCATTCCCTTTAATTAATGTGACCAAACTTCTGACACGTTTCCACTTACTTTTGCTGCACATACCAAACATAAAGCATTTCCATTTTGTCTCATGATTTTACAGAGAAGCTCAAATGAATTTAACTTGAACTTCAAGAAGTGTTTATTCCTAATTTGGGAGTTGGATTATACAGTCAAATCATGAAAATATTAAATTCTAGAAGGTTGTCTGCTTGTTTTTTGGCCACGCTGCCTTTGACATTGGCCTTATCTGTAATCTGCACGTTATATAAGCATACCTTGACCATAAAACTTTCAAGTTGGTTCAGTAGATTGCAACACAAAACAGGACAGATAAGATAAGTAAATGAGCGTGAGCACACAATGAACTTAACCTAACATACACCCGATGCTCTGAACAGCAGCTGTGTCTGAGATTTTTTTATTATTATTATTATTATTAATTGGACAATATGCTAAAAAATAATTCCCCCTCACACAGATCTCTTCTGATTTTGCTTCTTTTTTCTTTTTTCTTTCTTTTATTTATTTATTTATTTTTTTTTTTGGCACAATTAAATGTTTCAGATCATCAAACAATTCTTATATTAGACAGAGGTAGATGAGTAAATGCAACAAACAATTTTCAAATGATTGTATTTATTTAGAACAGTAATTGCTCCCCTTGTTAAATCACTAATTGTTCTGAAACACATTTTTTGAAAAGTTTAGTTCAGTTTCTCTACCCACAGCCAAACCATATA